CAGCGACGGCGCAGTTCGAAGAAGAGAGGAGAAGAGGTTTCGCCGGAACTTTATTTTCGAATATCCACTCACCGGCGAATATCTAACGAGGCTCCTCGAATCGCGGAAGGGCGCAATTAGCATCGCTTTAGATTTCCGCTCGACTACTCGAGGCCCGCCTTTGCTGCGAAGTCGGACCGGTTTCTGATCTTATAACGATAATTGGGTAATGAGTTGGCAAACTAAGTAGACATACCTCCCCGGGCCAAGTCTCGAGCTGCATCATCGGGGAGTGGAATCGAATCTCGGAGTTTAGGTACGATTCGCCGGTATGCACAGTCCCGCTCGAGAGAACCACCGGCTGGACTCCCTCTCTCTCTCTCTTTCTCTTTCTCTCTCTCGACTGTTTCCGTTTGCGCTAGTTAGAGAAACGGTACGTTCGCTCACGAAAGCAAACTTCTATCGAAGCTTCTGCAGACTTGCGCAGCGTGGTGGGTTTCTGGAGAGTGGCAAAGCAAAAGAGCGAGTGAGAGAACGCGAAATGGAGGGGCGAAGGGGCGCAAAGAGAGATTGACTGTGGAAATTTCAAACGTAGCTGGATAGGGAGCGAGAAGGTCTCGCCTCGTATTCCCCAGTGAACTTTAAATATTTGAAACGCTATATATTTCCGCCGTTTTATATAACGTCCATAAAACATGCAAACGCACTGAGTAAATTACGGAGTACGCCGGGAACAAATGCTAGGATACGTTACCGTCACGCGAGCCGGTACGCTCGCGAGCTGGAATTATAGCGAAAGTTGCGTGAAAAAAGCCCAGCTTCTTGCACGCTGCAATCCGGCGGTAACGCCGTTGCGCGCGGGACGAATCGATAACCGCGTCCGTTTTTCCGATCGGCGACAACTATCGGCGGGTTATCCCATCGGAAAAATCAAGCTTTTCCCGAATTCCTCGGGATTGCCTGAGAAACGAAGAACTGATCCCGGTAATCGACGATATTTAATCCTTCCTGATTCCATTTCCCTCTGAGGAATTTCAGATGTGTACGCATTGTTACGCAAAAAAAAGTGAGTTAAGCTAACGTCAAAGAAACCCTCGAACCCATCATGGGACCTATGATACGTAGGGCGAGGCAATTAACTATCACAACCTTGAATGAGCATCTTCGAAATATAAAAGTAGGAAAAGAATTCATCTAACAAAAATTGCACCGTCATCAATGATCAGCACTTTAAAGTTCGAACATCTTCTGTAAATGTCAACTTTTTTCTCACCCCCGTCCAATCCTTGATAAAACATTTCGGATTCTCGAAGATACCCAAGGTATTATTACCTCACCTTGAACAACCCGATTGACCCCGAAATATGAAGACACGCGGCCGATGCGAGTGATGTATCCGCCGCGTCCGATGTATATTAATTTATGCGGCGAATGTTCGAATGTCGGACGCGCTCTTTAACGGCATTCCGTAGCGAAGTCGTATATCTTGTCCACGGAGGTGGGATCCACCGATAATCGAGATCCAAAGAGCGTTATAGTTGGCTTTAATGCCGGGTATTCAGAGTGAGGTACAGTGTGTCCCGACACTCGACTTGGGCAGGTTCCAAGGTCCTCGCCGCCTCTCGGTGTATACGTATATAACACACGTACACGCGAATTCACACACGTGCTGGACGTTCGGGACGGTAACCACCGGTGCGCCCCGGGCTCCACCTTGACGTGTTCATGCACCGGTCCTCTCGTAAACTTCTGGAGTGCTCCCGCCGCCTCCTTGGCTCTCTCGTCCTTTCCCTCCACCTCCCCTATTTGTTGCCCCCTTCGTAAAACCTCGGACGAAGTGGAAGATTGGTTGAACCACCCGCTCAACTCTCGATGTCTCGCTCCCGCGTTCTCTTCCCCTTCTTCCCTTCTCTCTTTCTCTCTCTCTCTCTTATTTTCTTCATCTTCTTCTTCGTCGTCTTCCTCCGTAACAGCGCCCGATTCTCCTTCACTTCGCCGTGGCGGATCTCCCTGTGCCGCATTGAACTCGATGTACCAGCAGATACGACCTTTACGATCGGAGGCCGCTTATCCTTCGCGAATAATAAGATCAAAAGGGCGGTTCTGCAACCCAAGGGGGAAGAGCTCCCGTCTCGAAGGGCGGGTTACGTTTCACGCGCGGAACGCGTAAACGGAAAGTCACGCGCGGACGAGCAGCTGGGATGAAAGTTTAACGAGAATACTCGGCGACTGCGACTTACAGCGCCGTCTTAACGCGCGTCAATATTTCGCTCTCTTCACGATTGATTTATAGCCCTCTGTTACGTCATTCCGGCGCATTATTGCTTCACGGCGCGTACGAAAGCGCGGTCATGTCGAGCATCGATCGGCGTGCTCCTCGAATACATCATCGCCGTTGCCCGAAACGCGGGGAACTACGCGTAGATGCAGCGTAACGCACACAATCCCACGAAGCGGTTTTACGTTCCGGCAAACGTTCTTTTATGTGACTTTATACCGTTCTGACATGCAATATCGATGATAAATGGCAAAGTAGCTGCCTTATGCCCTCTTAAACACACAATAGGACGAAGGGGCGAGCGGGCGAGCGGGCGACAACACGCATTGTATTTGCCGAAGACCAAAGGAATGATCGTGAACGGCCGTTATTTTCGCTACGGCTCTCGCAAACGGGTGGGTGGTCCGGCGCGTTCCCGTACGTGTCCGTTCGCGACGCGTATTTGCCTGGCTTTAAGATACTTCCATCGGTCCAATTTTCCGCAAGAATGTGACACGTAGCAATCTTGGTAACCTCAGGGCTGCGGCTCGCAATTTATTGGCCACCGAGTGCACCTTCGACGATTTATCTTCCCCCTGCGCGCACCCCACCTTTCTCTCTCCTCTCTTCGCCATCACACGCTACCACCTACCTTTCCCTCTTCCTTTCTTGCTTTCTTTCTTCGCATCTTTCTACCTTTTTCTCTTCCTCGCTCTTCACGTCTCCTTCCCCGCCGTCTCTTCCACCCTTTACTTCTCTTTCCCTCCTTCTCTCTTTCCCTTCCTTCCTCCTGCTCTCTTTTTCCAATTCAGCCATCGCTTTCGATCGAGTTGAATCAACGTTGGAACGCCACCTACCTCCTCTCTCTCTCTCTCTCTCTTCCTGAACTTTGATATCGCAAACTTTCGACCTCGATATTTTGCAATATCGACAGTTACTGAACTACAAACTCGCGGTCTTGTGAATAATTTAACGCGCAATGTTTCGTAGAATTCTCACTCCCCGAACGGGGCGAAGGAGAGAACCGTCATCGCCCGACCCTGTGCAGTGCATTAGTTTCGACAAACGATCGACTAGCCTCATTAGTATGTCGCGACCGTATTAATATCGTTAGCGTGTATTTTCGTGCGAAATGTGGGACGGACGTTGGAAATAGTTCAGGTCGCGCGTAACAAGAAACTTCCGCTTGGTGTGCAGTTATCCTCAAGCGGTATTGTAACATTATTAAATCAGCAAGTCACATCTCGATAACTATATATTTGTGAGATCCGAGAGCGAGTTACGCGATATCGAATTGGTACTTACATAATAAAAGCTTCGTTCTTCGAGCAATACTCGATAACGGAACGCCACGTTTGCGGATGAGAATCATCGCGAAATTTGGCCATACGTTCATTAGCTTTTGGTCGTCGATCGATATAATCGTTACGATCTGTCATAGAATCGCTGAGAACCGGAGCTGAGACTCGCGGAGCTCCGCGAGGAGCTTCCCGACGTTGGCCGCGAGTATCGAATAGATAACGAGCGCGGGCATCGGGGAATTTTTTTCGGCCGACGGTCAAGTGCACGTTGCGTGGCAAAAAGGCAAGAAAATCGAGATCTGCAGGTGTAACGCCCGCAGCGACCGGGGCCGATAAAATGCACGCAGGCTCTCTCTTTCTTTCGGCGCAGGCAGCACGGCGAGGGAAGTAACCGCTCTCGATGCCCCGGGCTCGATAAAAAATGCAGTGATCACATTTCGGCAGAGACTCCGGAATCTCCGAACTATCTCTCGCCTTCTTTGATTCTCACCTCCTCGCGCCTTCGCTCGCCTCCTTTCCGATCGGCGATACCGCCCGGCCGCTCGCTCGTTCGCCGCCCCTCGGCTAACACACTCGGCATACGTATCGTCCTTAATATTTTTTTACGACGCGCTTCGATGTAATCGTTCTCCTCGAAAAATTACCTCCGGTCAGGTGGATCAGCCTCTCGACTCGAGTCGACGAACCTCGACGGCGATAGTTTCGGGCGATCTCGATCCGACGAGAGATCGACAGACCCCCGATGATCTCGCTCGGGATTTTTGCTCGCCGGACGCTTTTTCCGCGCAGCTCATAAAGCTCCGGTTGCAATCGGCTGTCGCTTTAATTTCTCGTCGGGTTCACGCTATCTCCGAGGTGCAATCTGACAAGGATCGCCCGGTTGCGAGAGCCACCGAACAAAAATCGCGCTCGAATTACGCACAACAGGTGGTTCGCAAGTAAGTGCCGCGAGATGCCGCGAATCCGATTCATATTTGCGATCTTCGGCGCCGACGTGCCCTTTAGATTGCATCGTCGCGCGATCGATCTCGCCGGCGCTTTAAACGGTTCCGCGACGCGAAGGAGAACTCGCGCGCACGCGAGCAAGCCGATCGATCGGCTCGGAAATTAATCGCGCGTCTCAGATAAATGAAACCGATAATATGGCAAACCATGGGGAAGAGGGTGAGAAATATTTAAAAGCGCGTAATCGTAAACGAAAACACGACGCCTGACGGATTAATCGCGCGGATCAATTTTGTCGCCGAGATAAGCCGGGATTTGCGGGGCTATTCATTGAGAATTCGGACCGAGATAATATCTATGCAGGCGCCCATAGGAAGCGCGTTCCTTCTTACTTCTCATTTACGACGCGTGTAACTTCGTCGTTGCATCGGAAAAACCGGCACGAGAACAGCTGTCGATTAGAGAGAACACAGCGGCCGGTCGGTCTGACGAAGGATCTTTTTGCGTTATCCTCGCAGCTCTGCCAATACGAGCGCAACGTCTGAGACCCCGGGCGGCTGGTCAAGCTGCGGCAAGTGCTTGGACGAGATGAGACTTATGCAAAGGTTAGCGATCAGCGGGCTGCTGTCCGTGATCCTGATTCTCCTCATCACCGGGACGTTCGTGTCGCGACGCGACCTCGCGAACGTCGTCGATCGTGGCGTCGCGCCGGAAGAACGAAACGAGCAGGTCAATCCAGCCTGGGTGCAGGACAACGCGGTGCCCGGGCAGGACGAGCCCGAAACCGACGACAAGGATCGACGGTTAGACGCCAAGCACAGGCAGTCCGAGCCGTCGGCGGTCGGGCCGCCTTCCGCGGCCGCTCCTGGCGTTTATGTCATTAGGCCGCCTAATCCGCCTCTGGACGATGTGACCAATCAACGGCGCGAGAAAGTCAAAGAGGTAAGACCGATTTTTATTTCCACATGCTTCACGTGGCGTGAGCTTGAGAGAGAGGTGTCTTGAAATCGCACGGAAGAATTGGACGCTCGTCCGAGGTAAGTGATTATTAAATTTATCTCTATCTTTATTTTCATTATTATTATCCTTATCTTTGTTGTATCACACATTGGACACATCAGATTAGCGAATTAGAGGTATATACTCAAACGGGTATATATTCAAATAGCGGGACGACAATTAACCGCTGTTATTAGGCTCGTCCGAAATATAATCTAGTTCCCCTCGCTTAGGTTAATTACGTTTCATCAGCACATAATCCCTGTTTTCGCATGTTCTAACGTTCGGAGGACGGTGATTCGGGCGTAGCTCGCGCGCCGAAAAACGAACAATACAGTTCAGGGTGAAACGTTCAATTTCCTGCGTTTAAAACGCGCATTCGCAGCCGCGCGGATTTTTCGAAAACTCATTTCGCCCAACCATGATTCTCGCCGTTGTCGCGTTGACTTGCCACCAGGCCGCGGAAAAGGCGGAAATTAAAGGGGATTCTAAGGGGAAAACCGATGGATCTTTTGTTTCGCCCGTCGCATCAATATTCGCGTTTGAATTACATTAGCGCACAGGTAAAGAGAAAATAGAAATGAATCAGGACGAGCGCCCTGGATTAATAGAATTTCCTCGGACGAGATGCTCTTTCGCGAGATCCAATTGGAATCAAGATCGGCAGAATATTCCGATAAATTGCTCGAAAATTCGATCATTGCTTTAAGTTCCGACAATATTGCGCGATAACGTTTCAGATTAAACGTTTTTATCGGAATAACGCACGTATACGTAACATACAGAATACGGAAAAAGTGCTGTTGAATTAATAGAATTTCCAACAACACGCGTAATCGGAGTAAATCTCCTTAATTCAATGGGAAATATCATTAAACCCACTATATTATGTATTGTTTTAGTAATTAAAGTATTAGTTTCAATGGCATCGCTATTGAAATCAAGTAGATTTACTCCAATTACACGTGCCATTGGAAATTCGATTCATTCGATAGCATTTTTTCCCTGCATATTTCTACAAATTTCCTCGATAATTGAATTGAATAACTCTGTAATTAATGTAATTTCTTTTTCGCTGAAGCAATTAACCTATAAATACATTAAACGATGCACATATCGAAGGTTTGTTTCAACAAGAAATTGTGTATTCATGAAAATATAAATTAGTGTTTGCGAGAGGGCGAAATTAATTCGGTTGATGAGTAGGAAAATAGAAGGCGCCGTATCGATGATGCAAGGAACTCGCGTTTTTCGCGCGAATTTCCAAACCCCAGCAGCGAAATTAATCAATTTTCGCGATACCGTATTGTGGGCCACTGAAATCCGCAAATGCATGAAGCCCGGATCGATTAATTTTCGAGCAATCGACAGGCGTGCCGGGAGGGGAAAAAATCGTGCGAGTGACGGATAACTGTCTCGTGAAGTGTCAAGCTGGATTGCTCGGGATGTCATGCTCCATGACGTATCCTCGCACGACTAAGTTGATCCGCAATGTAACCATCTCAATTTAGAGTTTAATCGAGCCCTGCCCCGTACATGACGTGTGACACGTAACGTTTGATGAGCGGATCGTCGAAGAAAAGGCTCCATCGCGCCGCGATGGGCAGGTTAATTGACTGGTGATCGTATCTACGTAAAACGGACATTTCTATCTTTATCTTATATTTAGAATCGAACGATAGAGGACCGTCGATATAATTCCGTTAGACTTTCATACGCGACTTGTGATTGATACGCCTTCGATATCCGTCGATATCTCTCACGTGGCCTCCGAGCGAACTGTTAATCCGTAACTTCGTGAATATGCAAGTTTCACACGAGCTTTCGAACGATCCACCTGGCCTCCTGACGTACTCAAAAAGCTGATCGCTTCAGCTAGGAATCGCATTAATGATATGCTTGTATATGATTATATTTAATTATGACATGGAACATTTTCGAAAATGTAAAAAAAGAGAGAGAGAGAGAGATTGAGCAGAAAACGGAAGGACAAAATTCCTCCCCTTGCGTGACCGTCTCCGATAAATAAAGACGTTGCTCTTCCTCGGCAGAAAAATAATGCAATATGATTATTGCTCCGATAAACCAACCGACCATCACGGCTACCGTTTCTAAGACACACGCGAAAACGAACGTATGATACAAATATCCGGATAAGAAAAAGTAACGGCATCACATAAGCGCGCGACATAACTCACGCTGTTGCGCGAATGCACACCGCGCGGTTGTAACATTACGGAGGTTTCTCCGTGGTAAACTGACTCACAGTTTGATAACGCTCGACTGCAAGTTATCTATGGGTTATACATCGTCCGGAGGCACTCCGGTTCCAAACGAAGCAATTTACTAGTGGACTGACGTAACTTACGAAACGCGGCCGTACCGCGTTCAAAATGGATTTCAATTAAGCGTTCGCCTCTCCACCTTACGATACGCATTTAATCGACCTTCTCGAGAAACGACCGTGCACGCGTGAAGAAAAGTGGAAAAGAAGGAGGGAAAAAAAGTTAATTGCTCGAGGAAAAGTTGCCTTTCTCTCTCTCTCTCTCTCTCTCTCTCTCTCGCCGAGGGACAATAATTATATACAAACTTACGAGCGAGAGCGATGATTTCCCTAATTGTAAGACTATTCCCCGTCTAACGATCGTAAAGTTGACGATACATAATTTGACTCGTAAACTTTAAAGGTCTTCCTAGCGAAAGTGCTCGCGCGTTTTAACACTCATTCCAATTTAATCACGCGGTGCAGACAAGTCCGGATTTTCGCGGGACGATATTTTTAAATTGTTCGAAAGGAACTCGAACTTTTCCAGAAGATCGTTACGAGAAACGATAAATATTCGCCGAGTTTTATTTCTACCTGCGAGAGCAATTTCGGAGAAGTAAAGCGTAACTTCTTCCCTGTTTCTATAATTGCTAGCGGTGATCTCTCGAATATCCACGAGTTATCGGGCAATTATCGCGAGAGGCGTGAATATAAACTCTCGCTGCGCGTTTTGTCGCTTCACTCCTGTTCACATTTACTTCCTGTTACCGTGCCATATTTTACACAACGCAAATGGTCCGTCTAGTCTGTCATTTGTCGCCGGTACCGAACGACAATCTACGACAAGCCGTTTGAAGCGAGTTAGACGCTGTAATAACACGTCGATAACTCGATGATTTAAATCAATTCGCGGCGTGTTTGTCGCGATTGCTTTTGTGCTCTGCCTTTGCCGACGCACGCCGAACTCGTCCGCGCGTGCTCGCTGATGGCGGCGTCGCGACCGGTGATTTCGAAGCGAGACCCGGAAAATCGTTATGTCGCGGCGCTCGAATAAGGATCCGAGGAAACGCAGGTAGCCATCAGGCTAATTGTTTTTAGTCGAGCTAATGCGGTAGGCGTGACCGTCCATTATCACGGCGGGGAGACCGGCGCTGGGGTAAACGCTCGCGTATTTTTCATGCCGGCACGTTTAAGGCGGTTTCTCCGCTTCGTTTAATCGCGTACATCCGATATTAAATTTTCACCCCCTCGAGCTTGGAATAATCGCCGCCCACCGATCGCGAGATGTCTGGGGAGGAGAAATGAGTGGATGTGATCACAGGATGATATCGTAAGAGAAAATAGATCAAACAAGCGTCAATTTTCGATGACGAAGGAGCTTTCGAGTGTCTCATCGACCTTGGAATCTGAAGCACTTACGAAAACGTCGCGCACGCCGTAGTTTCAATTACGTCGACTCGAACGCCCATTGTTCATCGTGAGTCCGTCAAGGCAGTAGCCGCCGATAACGTTCTTTCAGTTGCGAAGCTCAATATGCCGCTTCGTCGTGACGGTGGCGGGATTATTCCCTTCATCGCGGATCACCGCTCACGAGGAGAGGTCCTGAAATTTCGCGAGAGAACACCGGCGGGACAGAGAGAGAGTTCACGGTGTGAACGGCAGCCGCGGGAGTCCGACGAAGTCGCATTGTCTACCGGGCCGTACGAGTTGGGCACAATGGTGGCGGCTCCTTTTAATGAAAGATGCTAGTTAAGGGAGGCAGGATAGGATAATGATAGAAGTACGGAGTTCTCGCGAGGCGGCACAGGGAGAGGCCGCGACAGAGAGCGAACGAAGGCGCAACCTGCACGAGTCGAAGCTACCTTTCATCCGTGGATCTCGGAATGGCGCGAGAGAAGAGAGAGAGACGCCGGTTTCATCAGTTCTATTATCAAAGATTAATTCGCGCTGGTTTGAGGAGACCTCGTACAATGTGCGGCTCGCTGAACAGCAATAAACAAACCGGTAATTATGCTAAACCCCGCAGTGAAAGGTCGCGAGTCGACGTCGCGGCTGTAAGATTTCCCTATTCTGAACGTGCATAGCGAACGTCAAGTATGTTTTTTTAACGCCAAGTTCCATTTTTTTTTCGCGATTTTCCTAATGTTTCCTCAGTTTGTACATCGACACAACTTTTGGTCCTCACCAACCGAAAAATTAATTTGTCCATGTACAAGCGAGAATTTTATTTGAGTTAATTAAATGCGTTTCTCAGTGCTCCCGCGCTCGCCATTCCCGCCCCTTTCGTTCTCGTCGTGCGCTTCCGCCCTTCTGAACCGAGAGCGCGAGCACCACGTACTTCGAGTCATTTGTACCTAGACTCGTTGCATTGTGCCGAGCTGCTGTTGTTGCTGCCGCGCGTTTGTGCGAAGATGCGGCCGAGACGAGCGGAATTTTCCACGATGCCCTTTACGGTAGCGGTCCTAATGGTGTGTTGCTGCTCTCGGGGTGCACGCAACACGTAGCACGCGTACACCCTTGTCTCTCGCCCCTGTGTGTTTAATTTCCATTAAGCAGCTACGCCGGCACGTGGAAAATACCCGCTCGCGAGACTTCGGGCTACTCCGAGCGGATAATAACGAAATTACGAGGAATTCGGGACGCGCTTTTCATTCTCAAATATGGAAAAGGCACGGTAATATTAAATCGATCCGATAAGAATCCGGCTACGGTATCTTCTTTCACAATGACGGGGCACGGTTGTCGGATTTAATGTCCAACTTCCGTTCTCTGCGACGACGTTCCGTGCGACGACGACGACTTCAAACGTAACCGCGCTCGACCGCGGAAAGACACCGTGGATCTCTTACTGTGTTTGCGCTTTTAATGAGACCCGCTAACGATCTTGTAATTCGAGCGCGTACCGCCGTGACGGCGACTACCGTCTTGGATACGCGCGTTTCGATATCAAAGGAACGCGCACGCACCGCGGAAGACGCGCGCAAAGAGTCGCGAGTTCTGCTCGATTCGGCGGCCGCCGGGATCGGAAATGATATTCCGATTTAGCACGCGATGAAACGCACGCCGGACGACTGTCGGCGGCTGAAAGTTGCTCGGAATTTCGAATTTTCACCGGGGATTTTCCCTTCGGGCGAAACTTCATTTCTTCGCCATTCCGCGCGCCAGCCTCATCTTACCTCCTCGTCGCCCTTTCTTCTTCTCTTTCTCTCACCGGCGTGTTCGTTCGCTCATCTCCCCCCCCGTTAAATATTAACTTCTCTTCCGTCTCTCTTTCTCTCTCTCGCTCGCTCGCTCGCTTTTCTCCGGCCCTCTGTCGCGATCAGCTTTTCCCCGCAAAGGTGCAACGCGTAAACTGAATTCGCCTCTCTCTCTCCGCGTGACGTTGCCCGGGCGCGGTTAGATTTTTATGACAGGCGCGGAACGTTTTTAAAGGGCTTCGTGACGTCGATCCTCCGACAGGTTCACCGTGGCGCGGGTGAAAAAGGATATCGTGTGTACAGAAGCACGGCTACGCGTCGGTAGTATCGGTGTGCGCGCGTTTGATGTGCGCCTATGCGCTTTACGTATGTGTGCCCCTGTGTGCGCGTTGACGGAGGTGGAGGGTTGGTATGCTTTCACAAAATCACGGTGGGACGCCGACGCGACGGGACGACTGGGACGGTCGTGGAGGGCAATAAATAACGTAAATTGAAAACCGCGGAAAATAAAGAGAGGAAATAAAAGCGGCACGGTTAAGTACACTTATACGTGCCCGGTATCGGCGATGCACCCCGCGCGGAACCGTCGGCCCAGTCGATGCGCATTTGTGTGCGTCGTCTCCCCCCGGAGTATCCTCCGAGCTTTTGCTTTGTTTGTGTACTATGCATACTCAATCGCACGACGGAGCGCGCGAGCGCGCAAGTTCGCGTTTACTCGCGGCCTCTCTCGGTCCCTTTTCGCCGAGACTGCTTTTCCTCTCCCTCACCGACGCGTGCATTTTGTTTATTAATGGAAATGCGTGGAGCGCAGGCAATTTGAAAGGATATCCTCTCTCTCTCTCTCTCTCTCTCAAAACGCGAGAGAGCTCCCACGAGTGCCCTGCAAAATTCATATCGTCCGTGATGCTACGCAACCCGCCTCGGTTTGTCTGCGCGTGAGTAATTCGCGTAAAATAATGAATTCATTCATGAGCTCGGATTAATTAGAGACACGGGCTTCGGACACTGGGAAAAATGCTGTCAAGTCGCGTGGGGTTCAACCGGTAGCCGAGTGACACCGGCGACGAGACGGTACATCTTTGATCCCGCGTGACACTCGCCGGAGGCGCATGAGAAACACATACGGGCTCGTTTCCTTTCCGCGCGCAACTTAGCTTTAATGAATGCTCAGTACGATGAAATCGTGCCCAACCTCTGCGCGACGTATTCAAAAAGCCGGTAGATCAAGTGACGCCAAGCCATCGCCGTATTTGCATGCATGTAGAAACGTTCACTGTGAGAAAGATTAGTTTTTATCATCCAGTTAGAGGTATAATGAACTGTTGGGTCCCGGTGGAGATATTACGTCAGAGAGGAAATAAGGGGAACCCACGGAGAAGAGCGCCAAGTCCCACGACGTGTACACGATATTTTTTTCATCTTCTTCCTCAGTCATTCGTTCAATTATCAAACGCACCTCGGGTACCTCGACGCATCGCCGTTTCGAGTTCCACGAATATGAATAAATAAAAATATTAATCCCGCGCTTAATATCCCACCACTAGTTAAAACAGACACTTCTCTCCCTCCCTCCCACGCTCGCTTTTACGAATAAGCGCGCACGTATTTCGCACGTCCGTCGCGTGTTTTCTTTTTTTCCTCCCCGGTACTTACTGCTTAACCGCATTAAATGGTTTTAATGGATTACTCGTGGATTACAAAAGCGGAAAAAGGAACGGGCCCCTTCCGGGCGAGTCGGTCGGAGAATCCGGTTACCGCGGAAGTGACGTAACAAAGAGAGAATAATTGAACGAGGCCACACGTCCGACACGAGGTTTTGCCGCCGTCCACCTCGCAACCCCCCTTTCTCGTCTCCCCGCTCCCCCCGCGCGTATGGCCTCCCTCCTCACCGTCTTCCTTTCGATCCGTCGGCCCCGACACCGAGGCTAATGGTTTAATCCTAACATGGATGTTAACCAGATTACCGGCTACGGGTCCACCATGTGCCGCGCATTCGCCGCGGTTTCCACGGAACAAATTATCCACGATTACGCGGATAATGGCGGAAGGAGTTGAACGACGTGACGTCTCGCCGCCGCCCGGCGTCAACTCGCACGATCGTCCTCCGCAATTTTCCGCATCGCCAGCCCGCCTCCTAAGCCGTCGTAATAACGCTCCCCTCCTCGGAATTTCGCGTCTTCATCGCGACATACCGCCTCTCCGACCTGCTGCGCCGGCTATTCCGCCCTCTTCGCGCGCTTCTTCGCCAAGTTATCACCTCTTTTCGGGTAATCCCCGGCTCGACGGATTTTTATCGTCGTATCAACCGGCTTTAATGAAGTGTCTCGGAATAACGCGAACGTATGCACCGTAGGGACGCGCGCATGTATGGTTTCACTCCCGTTTAGGAACCCCCTCCTGCGCGACTCAGCGACAAGCCGGAGGAAGAGGATCGACGCGGAAGGCGATTCGAGCGAGTTGGAAAGCAACGCAACCGTTCTTCCTCTTTCCTCATCGTCTCTCCGCGGTCTCTGATTTCCGTTGTCCTCCCCCTCTCGTTCCTCTCGTGTTATTACCGCGGCCAGGAATGGGAGGACTCCATTTCTGGCGATGCCACTGCCCTCCCGATATTATATCGGCCTTAAATTATGCCGTCATAAAAACGTGATGAAGCGACCGCGGGTGCCCGGCAAATGGCTCGAAAAATCAAGGGGAACGGAAATAATGGTCAACGTACGGCCGGACCGGGCAATATATTTGTTATTCACGGAACGGCTCACAGCTGCCAGCCATCCTAGAGACCCGATGCGCTTCGCTACTTCGACTCGCGCGCATACTGTTGATCCCGCTGGGAAGACACCGAATTCCTCGGCGTCGGCGTCTGGTATATACGTTTTAGGCGTATCTCGTGTGGAGCGATTAATTATGAATACAAGACGGCACGATGCCGGAAATCTCGCCACGGATTCTTGCGCCCGAAGAAACGGAACTCGCGTGGTCATTTATAACACTGAAATTAGTAGCCGCTGTGACAGACACACTTCCACGCGGAAACAACAATTCAGCCGTTGAAAGTTTCCACGTGTATTCCCGAAATTGAAATTTTAGCCTTGTATCAATTCTTTCCGAAGATGAAACAAGTTGATGCGCATTAATTAATCTCACTTTGATTTTTCTTCGACAATTGACGCAGATGATGAAGCACGGTTGGGACAACTACGTGCGGTACGCGTGGGGAAAGAACGAACTACGACCGATCTCGAAGAGGGGTCACAGCGCCAGCATCTTCGGGGCCTCCAACATGGGTGCGACCATCGTCGACGGACTCGACACCCTTTACATCATGGGTCTTCACGACGAGTTCAAGCAAGGACGCGACTGGATCGCTGAGAACTTGGACTTCGATATCGTGAGTACTATTTTCTCACGAATTGCACGCCTCCGTATTTATCCGCCGTTGCTTATCAGCGTGCGAAACTCGCGGTGTAACGCCGGGTACAAGGCGGGTGGACACGCGCATTACTCTTCATAAATTATCCGTCGAGCGTTCGTTTCAATTAACCCGCGGAATCTGCTAGACGTCGATCGCGGTGGGAGGATCCCGCCGAACCGGATGTATGCACATCCGTGCAGTCAGTTTCATCCTTTTTGCCGTCGGTGAGATTATAAAGTAGCTCCCGTCAATTTTAATTAATTTAACATCGACTGCTCGTGAGACCGATTTTACGTAACTATCGTATTTCCTCCTGTTGATTTCAACTTTTCGCGCAACACGTACCATCGTATACATCGCTCGGCAAGTAGATTTTCCATTGTTATCGTGTTATTTCGCCGTAGGCACGTTAACGTTTCGTACGACGCGTGTTCGGCGCGAAAGGTAATTTTAAACGTACAGGGACGAACCGCCGGCTCTGTGTGTCTTCCGACGAAATTGCGAACGCGAGTTTCTCCGGGGCCGTATCTCACCGGAGAATTTTCGCGGCTTTTCTTCGTAGCCGGAAGGTGGCTGCGAAGGTACGGGCGATGTACACAGAGCCACTTTCAAGGAGTCCGTTTTGAGCGTAGATGGCTGTAGATGAGCGCGTTATCTCTACGCTCCCAGTACATCTATCCCTCCAGAGGCAGCGTTCAACGATCAAGCGCGTCTTTACTCCGACGATCGCCGCAAGGCCGGCAACGCGATAATCAGCGACGGTCGTAGATCGATCGCGTGTAAATGGACGATCTCATCGTTCGAGTATCGTTCGCACTCGCATTTGACGCGAGGCGCCGTTTGTGACTTAAGTCTAAAATAAGAATGCTGTATAGCTGCTTTCATCTAGCTCGTTTTACTTCGCTTTCACGTTACAGCTTTCGTGTCGTATCGAGTGTCAGTGCTTAATGTCAATATCACGAGTATCTGAAATATATGAAGCATGTGTCAAAACGTATATATAATAGCATATGATATTATTAATAAATGTAATCATTTAATCGACTGTTAAGCGTGACATGTTGTTAAAATGAAGTCGAAATAATAAAAGAACACAAAAGTGAACACGTTTAACGCTGTGTGTTATTCGCATGTGTGAAAAACCATAGTTGCAATCGGCATTTCGCGTTAGACACACGCACACACGATTACTCGAGCGACGGAAACTGGCCATTTTTGCGCGCGATCGTTCTCGTACATCCAACATTGTTTGTCGCGCTGCCGTTCGCAACGATCGTCGGTGATGGAGATCCGCTCGACTTCTGGACCCTGGTCCTGGCGGGACAGATGTGTCGGGAATCTGAAAATGGGAAAAAACAGGGAGCGAAAAATCCTACAGAACTGAAAACGAACTCGTTTAATACATCTCACTGCACTACCACTTAGGTGTGCACTACCTATGGGGAGATATCACGATGAAAGTTCGACATTCGCCGACACGCGTCGAAACCAATTTCGTCGTGAGTCAACTCACTTGACGCAGCCGTGTCACCGCCTCCTTTACGCGAGCCCCAACGGAAGCAAACTTTCGATATCGGTCCGCGTCTGCATACACTATTTCTCCTCTCGCATCGTCTACCCTTCACATTTTCGTTACGGAACATCCCGGAAATGTATTTGTCCCGCCGAGGAAAGTCGCGCTCCGACGAGACGTCGGTGACACCCTTCGAATCCCCCCCCCCTCGCCACTCGCGATCTGTCCGGATATAAAATATAATAAAAGAGCGAATGGCGTCACTCGGAAACGTTCAAAGTAAGTGCCGCGATATTTTGATCGCGACGCGTGACCGTCTACCTCCTTTCATTTAATGGGGAAGGGGGGGAAAATGCTCACGTCGGGTGTTGTCGATTTTCTGCGAAGTGAGTGGGTGAGCTAAGCTGAAAAATAGGGCGGAAACGAGGAATTCTTTTATAGTTTTGTAGTATAGACTAACTCCCACAAAGATTCCCGGGATAATCCCGCGAAAATTGCAAACGTTCACTTCGGCGCCGCGACCTTGATGGAGAACGAGGAGTATCTTATCTCCGGAAGGCAGGTGTACACTGAAATATCACAAATCCTCGAGACCAGATCCAATATTTTCCCGATAAAATATCACCGGTCGACGGCGTTTCAGTGCGATGCGAATTGTCAGCTTAAGGCCACGACGTGGAATATTTTAACACGGTGGAAATATTCGCCGCTTCGTGCGCGATAAATTGATAATGTTTCAAAATTACGCGATAACACGTCACCTTCTCGCGTCGGGAATATATCGTCGCTGACTGAGAGCGACGAGATCCGATGTTAAATATCTCGTTGAATCGCATTAGCGATTTATATTTGCCGCGCGACAATAATATAAACGGCAGCCGACTGCAAAAATCGCGTCCGTCGCTCTCTGGACGGGAGACGTCTATTTATTTACATCTCGCGTGACCCTGATATATTAAATTATTGAAATGAGTCTCTGGCAATGGACAATACGAGTATGAATGAGGTTATGCCAAATACAAAAGTATAACGAAAACAGGGAGGAAAACGTCCGCATGTAAAGAGAATGCGACATTTCATACGCACCAACCTAATATATTTACCTTGTGAAACATTCTCGCGCCACGAAGGTACGAGAATCAGTAGTTCCCGGAGATATATTACTTTCCCGGAGAGTTCCAGGGCAAACAACACGTTTAAGCGCTTAATTAACTTAATCGTTATGTAAATCGATGCCCGCGATATTTCTCTGTCGTTGCGTGCGGGAAGAATAAACTCGGGCGTTTTCGGGTGGCATTTCCGTAAGTACCGAGCCAGGAAACTTAGCCCGGTTTATCCGAAGTTGGTAACAACCACCCGCCGACGACTTCCCTCCTCTCTCGCCCCTCTTGAACTCTTCTCTTCCTCGGTGTTACGTCGGATTTCTAAGTGGATAACTTGCCGTATTAGCCGCTTTCGGCTTGCGGTAACCAGCGTGTCAACCGTGTTGGAAGTTATGCCTATTGTTTCGCGGGTTTGTGCCCGAAACTCTTTCCCCGGTGTCGTTTCGCCTGCGGGAGACGCAAAGTTACGTCAAGGAACATTAGATACAACTCCCCAGTCTTCTCGCCTCCCCGTTTCCGTGCGACACGTTCGTTTCTGTCCGCGCCTCTCGTGAAATATCACGAAGACCCCTAAAGACTTCGCAATTAAATCTCATTTTGGTGTGTTCACCGCGACAATCGAGCGAACACGTAGCCGTGTATTTTCAGGAACGATGTTAATTTTGAGAAAAGACCCACTCTTCGACACATGACATGTATTTTAGTATCTTCGATCGAGTTTTAGTTCGCCGGTACATTATAATTATATGCCGAAAGTGAGCGTCGCATGTTAGAAGAGACCTCACTCGAGTATTCACCGACGGGAGTATTAACGTCTCGCGTTCCAGCCTTAACTGGAATGTTAACGTGTTTCACGTCATTACACGCGCGAAGTATCCCGGAACTATAATGATTACGACTAGTATCTGAGATGAACGAGGATAACATGGGAGAACGGTCTATATATATTCACATATTTCGCGTTCAATAATAACGATAAGGGACGAAATTAAAAGGCGGCAACGGCAACGATTCATCTCGCTTACTCGCGTCTGACCGGCGAAATAAATTTCAATGGCCGATATGAGCCGAGCGGGCCAAAGGAATACCGTGCAATATATTGCCTTCAATGAGATTTATACAAGAATGAAAGCGCGCTCGCGCACACGGGCTTTGCACCGGCTAGCTGGGAACTGAGATCATGAACGGGTTATATGGACTCGTCCGCGATTCGGACGGGCGATAAATTCGGGAAGGAAGCTGCATCCGAAGGGGCCTAACCGCTCCAAGTATAAAACGAAGAATCACATCGCGTATTATGTGCCGCGCCGTAAAGGCGCGCACGGGGAGAAGGAGGGAGAGAAAGGGGGGAAGGTACCACACCGGCCACCAAATCCAGTATCTGACGCCACCATTTCTCACGAATATACGCACAGCCGTGCAGAATAAGGGAAGGGAAAAAAGTACGCGGCGGAATACACGCGTTTTCTGCAGGACAATCGGCATCGGTGTCGCTGCCGATGCGAAATGCCGCGTTCTCACGAGGAATGATGGAAGAAAGAAGAACAGAAAAGTAAGAGATGTAAAATTCCAATTAAATTAACGTAATTTTTACGGTTGAGACGAGGAGGATGCTTCTTAGACATTTTCTCTCTTCCTTTTTCCGCGCGAGATTTTTCGCCCGAAATCATCGATGATAGATTTTTCATTGAATCATTACCGTCAAGCCCGAAGTGATATTACAGTGATATTTGCGAACCTTTAGCATAGAACGGGCCTTCAAAGCGCGTGGAGCTTTACAGCACTCGCATCTGCATTTACGTCGCATGCACATGCAACGAGCATCCGCTCTCTGTAGACGTGTGATATTGTGAAAAACATTTTCGGCCGCGGGCCGCTTTGCCCGTGCGCGTGTATACATGTATGTGCCTGCGTATTCGTTTTCGGTGGCTGCGTAGTTTTTAATTTCGTCAAGTAAAAATCGGGGTTACCGTCCAAAGAGAGAAAAGAATAACGCGATTTTATTTTGCAGCTCGCGCGAAGAATGAAAGAGTATTTGACTTGAAAGCGATTCGTTAACAACGGTCGCGCGAGTCTCCCGTGGAAAAAGGAAAACTCCGGGCGAATTAAATGACGAATGATTAATGCACGCTTTTTTTAAACAACGTTGCAAAAACTGTTCGAAGGATTCTCTCGTAGATCTTTCAAGTCCTTGAGACCTCCTGCGAGATCTAGCTGGACAACAGCGAGCGTGTTAATCCTCCGACCGTTCCTGAAAAGTCGCATTGCAAACAGGACGTCTCCCGAATTAACGCATTAACCGGCTTATCAAATACGCATCTAATGGACAGAGTGACTCTCTAACGATCTTTCGGGAGTGA